TATCATCTCTAGATGAATATTACACATACTGCAGAAAAAAACTCAATTTTTAAAATGCAGAGTCTTGCTAGAATCTTATATGATTGTGCATTTCAAACGTATTAGGGGGTATTAGTCGTGACTTGTTTTTTTGAACTTTCAGAACACAAAAACTAAATTATCAAAAATTAGCAGACTTTTTTTAAAAATAAACAAGACTGCTCGTATCAGGGCGAAGCCCTGAATGTTCCTACTGCCTTTTAAGGTTTATGGAGCAGCAGAAATAACATTAAAAAAATTAAACGAAATAAAATAAAATGAAATTTTTTTTTCATAAATTTGAAATTTTTTTTGAAAATCATCCCCCCACACGCCATATAAAGTACAAAAAGATAGATTCCGTTCCTTGTAACAAATAAATTATGGCAAATAAGCTTCGTTCAACCAATTTGGAATGATTTCTAAGACGGATTAAATCTCCGCTTATTACGCGTTAATAGCGCGAATTATATCGCGTGTTAATTGTCCCAAATTGTTCACGAAAAATGATCACAGGTGAAATACCTTTTCAAATTTAAGCTCAGGACAACAATAGCTTTCGAATGATATAAAAAAATTCCGTCAAAAATGGCTAGTTAAAAAGTCGAAATTTGTCTGAAGAAAAAAAAACCACCCCGAGCACAAATATTCCGTTACTTTCATATCGAAAGTCGGAACAAAAAATACTTTCTTTTGTTAATATACAAACATATATTCATGAAATTGACAATGTAACCACTTTTCCACGACATATTTGACATTTCAGAGTCTCGAACAGAAGTCGTTGAATAAATTTGGAAAAGACATCTTTTTACAATGAATGGATCAGCTGACAATTGCAACAACTCATATGATTTTAAGACATCTTCACCTGGTACGTGGGGACGCATCCAGATCAATTTGGAACCAGGGCAATTTGAACTGTTCAAGAGGGGGGTACGCCTCAGTCTCGCAGCCATACTGTGGGCTGGGGTCAGGAATAGATCCAACCCCTGTTGACAATAAAACTAACACTGCTAAACTAAGAAGACGGTATTTCATCTCTATTACTTCGAAAGTTATAAACTATAACTCAGAACTTGTTTTGTTGTTGAATTGGTCAATTGAATCGAGATAAGCTTTGTACAACTATGTACAGTGTGATAAATGGTATAATTTGAACTTGTTCTGTAAGTTTTGTTATTGTTTGACAAATAAGGAGTAGTACGGCCTAATGACATTCTTCGTTTTGTTATTCGCGTTTTGAAATGAAGGTAAGACACATTTTCAAACTTCTCTCTCTAGTTTTGCCATCATCTGACTACACATAAGGTGCGCATCAGGGCAAAACCCCAAAATATCCCAATGGCTAACCGACTTTTGGAGAAAAAACAAAAGCTTCAAAGAAGCTTTGTTAAAATTTTTGGAAAAAAATTGCGTCGAATACCGCACTTTTCAAAATCTAAGCTTCAATTTATTTATAATGTTTATTATCCGTCTACGTTTCGCTGCGCACTTTTTTTTCATAGTCGAAACGGCAATTCATTGACGAAACCTCTCACTTTTAATTTTTTTTAAAAAAAATACCTTTTTATGATTGAAATTGAAAAAAATATATATCCTCTTTTGTTTACAGCACAAAGGCAACAGTGTCTTTCGGACTGAACAAACAAATCATATCAACAATCTTCTCTAACTTTAAGTGACATATGCCGAAGACTCTAAAATAATTGAACAACCGATCATCTCATTTTTTTGAACTGTAAACATGCACATATTGGCTATTTGAACAAGCGCTAATGTTAGGTCAGTTTAAAAAATATATATCTAGGTCAGTGTTAGGTCAGTTTAAAAAATATAAATCTAAAGAAAAAAGCAGTTTTGGTGGTGATTTTTCTTGAGCTGAAGTAATTGCTCTTAAAACAGAACTATAAACTGAATCAATATTGGCAACTCATAATCATTATTTAAAAAATCATTATTTTGTCTCTTGATCGGTTAAAAAGGTCAGAGGAAATGAGCCAGACCAAACAATTTTAAAATTAAAAAACCTTGTGTTAAATGCGAAAACTGTTTCGGAAAACACTGAGTTTAAACTTAAAACCAGTTTTAGCGTTGCCAAAATTAAGCAAATTCTGCCTTATCAGAGATGCCAATCTACCAATCAAAAAAATCTGATCTGATACTGCGATAGATGTAGTTCCAGAACAAAAAAGAAAAACTTTTCCATAGATGGGTCCGCGTTTTCTGTATTACTTGCAGAAACTTGTTTAATTACAGTGCTTCTTTTTTCTAGTTACTTTTAATTAGAATATGTTTGTAGCAAAAAAATTAGTCTTTCGACAATTTTACTTTGACATATTTGTTTCGACAAATAAAAGATGGATGGAACTTTGATATCGTGTGTCTTTCAGTTTTAGTTTTCCACGCAAAATCAGGTACCCAAAAAAAACAAATTCAATAGTTGTTGATATTCAATTTTCATTGACGCCAAATTTAAAACCTTTTCTATTTGAAGTGTTCGGCAAAAAAATGCAAAAAAATCTCAGTGTGTGAAAAAATGGCAGATTTTTTTTTTAACCAAATTGTAAGCTTTTAAAGGCAATTATTTGAAAAATCATAATTGATACAAAAACAGTGATAACTTTCACATAAGCATTCAAAAAAAACTGTGAAGCTCCATGTTGCGTTTTTTGAGTACGAAAAAAACATGGAAAAAATAACAAACGTTGTTTTCAAACCTTACTTTTTGTTTTGTTTTCAGTTTTCGAAAGAAACAATATTCAACTGTATTTGATTAACTAAGTTAGTAAAATTGAACTGAGCTTGAACTCAGTGTTCAAGTTGAATAAGAGAAACTGAGCTTGAACTGACAGAAGAGGTATGCAATTCGACTGCGCATTTTTGTCGATTTTTTGCTTTCCCCGGTTGACCAAAACTTCTTATCATACAATTTCCATATATGAGAAACTTCTTGTCATACAATTTTATACAATTCCATACGTACAGAAAATTGTATGAAAACTCTATGATAAATATTTTTTCATATATGAAAATTGTATGATAGGTGTTTTTCCATAAATCAAAAATTTTGATTTTTTCTTTCTGCAATTAGTTTCTGAAAATTTTTTGGTTGTGTTTGCAACCGAACACAAGTGACAAAGGCCTTGGTTACTCAAAACACCAAAGGTTGGACGGTCGTGCATTTACAATGCATAGAAAACGACCTGAGTTTGTCTTTCACAATTCATATAACAAAAGAAACAAACATTTTTTTGGCAAAATTTTTTAATGATGATTATTTTAAATTTTTGAATTTTCAAATTATCAGACATTGATCAAGGCATTTATTAACACACGTTTCGAAAGAAATATGATTTTTCAGCGTTTTTGAAAAAAAAAATGTAAGTGAAAAGAAAATAAAATCCAATTTTATCGTATCCAGGACTACGTTATGCACACAAAATATTAAATTTTGCGAGCAAAAAAATTTTTTCGAAAAATGTTTGTTTGCGTACGAAATTCGATTTGCAGTTGGAAAAAAAACAAAAAAAATTTTTGGGCCAAACTTTCAAAATTACTGGAAATTTTTTTTGTGTCGCCATCAAAAAAATGCCTGTCTTACCATTTACATATATGGGAATTTTATGATAAGCATTTTTTTCAAAAATTGAAAACCTCAGTTTTCTATCATCAGACTGTTTTCCCAGTTATACCAGTTATACCAGTTTTCAACCATTTTAAGAAATTGTATGAAGATTGTATGACAAGCATTTTTCCACACACTCGATGTATGGAATTGTATGATAAGCATTTTCGGTGTATGGAGGTCAACCCGGGTTGCTTTTAAAGTACAATTGAAAAAACTTACCATGCAATTTTTGAGAGTAAAAAAATGCGTAAAATTCCGACATAAAAGCAAACGCGAGATAAAAAAAAATGATTTAGTTGATTTTTGAAGGTCAGAATTATTTTAAAAAGTAATAAATTTTCCGCGAAATTGGTTAAAAGCTATATATAGAGAGTTGCGATAAGTTCGAATAGACATAATTAGTTAAAAATTGCAACTGTATAGACAGACATAAGCAAAAACTAAAACTGAAACAAACATAAAATCAAAAGTTCACGTAGCAGAAGTTTTCACTTAAAAATTCGTAGCCAGGTAGTGCAATCACATTTTGAAATCGACGAGGATCATTAAGGGCATGAACCAAATGTGACGAACTTTTTGAGCGACTTCGTCGGGAGTTTTTGGCGGGTCCAAAGCCAATTGTTTTTTTTTTTTGATTCCCGAAACATTTTCGATCGGGTTGATGTCTGGGCTATAAGGAGCCATTTGAGAAGAGGAATACTGTTTTTTAGTAAAAACTGAATTGACAAATTTCGCTAAATTGTCCATGGTAACAACTTTTGTCGGTGAGATTTTCAAGGTTGTCTGAATTTAGTTTTTGGAGGCAAAAAACACCAAAAGCAGTCGATTGTTCGTTTTAATTATTTGTCTGTTCCAATTTTTTGCCACTTATTATATAGTTAGTAGCAAAAAGTTTGAACAGACAAATATATTTAAACTAGCGTTTAACGCACCTTCGGTGCTTTGAAATTTTTCGACAACTCAGTAAAAACCGCATATATTGGAAACAACATCTGCAAACTTTTAGTGTACTCTGA